ATATATATCATATATATATATATACCACATATATATATATATGAAATATTAAATAATAAGTTACAAACATGGTTGATGTTTCTATAAGCAGATAATTAATAATAATTACTTTCAAATCATCTTCTGAGCAATAGAGATCTCATGTCCTTTTGAAAGTGGAATTATCCTAGTATTGTGAAAATATTGTATTAATTTGTTTTTCATACATCTCTGAGATGAAAATTGCAAAGTATGGATTCTGTTCTAATAACTTAGAATATTTCAGTTATATCTTACCTTCATTTGGGTACTGTTTCCAAATCTGAAAGACCTATTGAGTCTTCATCTTGCAAAAATACCAACTGATGTGTTCAAAAGTCAAATGGAAGGGTTACGTTAAAGATTTATTATGTGAGCATTGGTCAGTGTTCTAGCAGATTTCTTGTTTGTTCTAATCACAACATACCATCTGCTAACGCGACTTTAAGCTGCTTGTTTTCTCTCTTTCATGGTAAAAGCTCAGCATAAACAGCAAGCCAAGTAGACAACCTCTTGGTACAGAGTGCTTCGTTCTATTGGATGGAGTCATTCTTCCATTGTACATACTTGACTCTTTAAATACTGGAAGCTTTCCAAGAATTAGAGACTTGTTAAGGCATGGATGTTACAAAGACCACTTTTAGCAGCTTACAGACAAGAAAAAAAGATGTAAGACATGCTAAAATCATACAGGCTATTCCTTTTGCATGCATCTATTCTTTTGATTTCAGCAGTAGGTTAAGTCATCGTCATTAGTAGATAAAAGGTCTGAAAAAGACTAGAAGAATGGCATTTGCGATTGGGTTTTACTAGGAGTATTCAACTGAGAAAAAGAGATATTCAGCAGTAGAGGCAGCTCGCAATTATCCAGCACAATAAGGCTGGCGTAGCTCACATAAAGCAAAACCACAATTCGATACATATGTATTAGAGTATAAAACCATAGTTAATATTTTTACCTCTGTAGAGATTGTAAACAAATTTTCTTTCAGAAGCAGATTTAAAAAAAAAAAAAAAAAGGTAGGTAGAGCACAGCCTGATACAAGAAGTATTTATCCTGCATTTCATTCTCTGTGGCACTCTGTTGTAGCTAGAGATGTCAGGAGGAAGTGTGGCCATGCTAATACACACCCTCTTACTCATCTCAGATGGTGTTTCACATCCAGCAGCTTACAACTTGATATTAACATTTCCTATAATATAGGAAATTCTGTTTGTATAGAATTTGATGTTTTGATATAATGATCAAATAGCTATGAAAAGGGCTAACCTTTTTTTTTTTTTTTTTAAGTGAATAGCCTGGTGAAAAGCACTAGGAATGTAATGAAGTGTGAGGGATAAGGGTGTTTGGTCAAACAAACACTGCTTTAAACAAATGTGCCCTCTCCTCCCACTACTACTGCCTTCCTGGCAGCTCTGCTTGCATCATGAGAAGTGGAAGTGTTGGGATGTAGGGAAGTGGGGAGCAGGGATTTGTGTGAGGAATTCCTTCATTGTGTCTCTTGAGACACAGCCGTGTGTGAGAGGTTCACAGGTCTGAATTGCTTTCCAATACACTGAAGTAACTCCTCCAGTTGATCTCATACAGGTGTACACAAATCAGTAATTAATGAAAGAAGAGGACTGAAAAAAACATTAAGATCCCAAGGTGACCCAGGATATTTGGTGGGTAGAGCTGGAGAATGTTTCCAAGAAAACTAAACGTAGCAGTTACAGAGCTGCATCATAATTCAAATTCTACTTTTGGTTGATTTTCAGATTAAGGCTGGCATGTTCTATTTGTTTCTCTTGTGTGAATCTTAAGTGGCAGTCTCACAAAGTGAGAGGTTGCAGTTTCCATCACAGAGTCAGCCAATCTGACCCTTTTTTAACAGCTTGGCAAGTGTGTATGATAATTGAATAGGCAAAAAAGAAATCCCGAGGAGATTTTTCCATCCAACAAAATGAAGCTGAAATCTAGAATTTCCAAAATGCAGAAAGTTGAGGTTACTTTTTTTCCTCTTGAAGATGAACTTTCAAAACTTTTTTAAAGTTAGCTTTCAAAAGTTTGGCAGACGCTGCAGTGTTTCAGTATCATTGAACTCATGTTCAATGTGCTTGTGTTCAAAGCTCAGCGTGCTTCCTGAGCCAGGTCCTCCCTTCGCTGTAAGTACTCACAGACAGAGGGTGTAGCCGGGTGTAGCCGTATATCACGGCTGGACTGATTAACTGCGGGCACTGACCAGAAAGGCAGGTCTTGTTTTCCTTTCCAAAACTTATGCCTTCCCCCTCCACTATCTCAGCAGTATCGCTAGCCTGACCCCTAACAGTGAATGAATTTAGAGAACCAAAGCTACAGAAAATGAACACTTAAAATTGGAAAAGCACTTAAATTAATATAGGTGTACTGTAAAGCTAGACTTTGAGCAGAGAGTTCCCCCTATTAGCTTAATGATTACTTATGGATTATCTATACTGCTGCTGAAAATAATGGTCTTGCTGTCCTCTGTTTGCTGCCGTGTTTTCCTGCATCCTCCTTTGTGCTAACCCTGGTGTTCATGGGGTTAGTTGGATCAGGGAGCAGATTGAGCTGACAACTAACATAGCAAAAAGAAGAATCTCAGCTTCACAAACAACATTTTCAGCATAGCAAAGCATGAGGACAAGTATGTCCATTGTGGCAGCAGTAGCACAGATTTAAATTTCCTGAAGTTTGTCTTGACATCACCTTGTGAATGTTGATCTGGAAGCAGCTTTCTTTACCATTTCATGAACCCTTAACTGCTGTACTGTTCTGGGTTCAAAGACTTGCTTGAAGGATAAACTCTTGAAATGACATGTGGCAGTTCAGCCACCTCATCATCAGCCTGAGCTTTGTCTGTTTGATTCCAAGCACTGTGGTATCATTTCTGAGAAGGACAGTGAGCCACAGAAGTAGGAAAGACATCAGTGTTTGCAGCATGTGATGACGGTTTTGTTTTTCTCAGTTCTCAGTGTTTCAAATTTGTCCTATTTGCTTTTACTTTAGTATTATACTTCATTTGAACACAGATTGTGCAAGATGTTTGGGATGTATGCTCTTTGCACATGAGCATGACTAATTACGGTGAGCTACATCCTTAAGATTAAGCACATCTATGTTCCCCGATGAACCTGGCTGTGCTGAGGAAATGGCATTCTAGCCTCTCCAAACACACTTCTTGTATTCCAATAGGCTCAAGACTGTCTTTGAAGATTTTCTTTCATTCTGAAATGAGATTGAATGCAATGCATTCTAGCCTAGCTTTTCTCCCTACTGTTGTTTTCTTTTGGGATTACTGTTTGGCCATTGTTCAGTTCAGGCCATACTCAATTGCCCTTGTAATTAGTGTGGAGCTAATAACCATGTACTGACTAATCATGTCTGCTCTGATTTTCTGGGATTGTTTTGACTCTTTCAGCTCCAACTGGCTTTTGTGGGGAGTTTTTGACGTTTAGCACCTCTGCAAACAGCATATTTCAGTTATGAACAAGCTGTTAACATGTTAAGTCGTAGCCATCAAGTGACAGTATTATTCTGACTAAATGTGACAGCCTAAAAAGTAAGTATCTTTGTCTAAGTGAGTCACCCTAGGATCCCTTCATAGGCAATGAAGTTCTACCATTCTGGTTGTGGAGGAAGAAGGCAGTGTGTTTCCTTGCAAAGTGGATGCCTGCATTTGGTCAGATGATTTGTGCCGTAAGAAAAGTGGGAATAGATTACCTATTGATTTTTGATTAGACTTCTCTGCTTTGCTTGGAGAGCAAATGTTTGTATAGAACTGTGTGTGTAAGATTTGGGTCTTAAGTTTATGTTTATCTGTGGAAGTGGAAATTGACAGAGGCAGAGTTTGAGGAGCTCCATCCCAGGTTGAAGTCAGGAGGAACAACGATAGGACGTAAATGCTTAGATGCACATGACAAAATTTGCATTTGTGCACTAGTGCTTAAGACTTTCAACTACACAGGAATATTAATTTTGCCACTATATAGCATGCTATGGAATCATCTGCTCATAAGATCAGCATTTTCATTAGTGTTTGGAGATTGGCAGTAATCAGGAAGTTTCGTTCCTTCTGCCTTTGTAAACGAGGCTGTGTTCCTTATTTCCTGCACAGTTCTTGGAAGCAGGCATATTATCTTGTCTTAACTTTGCACGTTCTGTTTGACAAGTTCAGTCTCTTGTTTGGCCAGATAATTCATCTTGTAATAAAAGAAAGAATCAGTTTACCTTCCATAATCCAGATTCTGGTTTATTTCATGGCTTTGTTTACAACAAGTTTGTTTAAAGCTTCAAGGACTGATCTGTGTAGTTCTTGGCTGTCACTATTCAAGAGGATGAAATTAATAGCCACTCCCTTTTCGGTCCCTAAAGCATTTTCTTTTTCAACAACCTTTTAAGGTAGGTACCACTGGGTAGCAAATCCATAGAGCTCTGGTAATGATTAAAATAAATTGTATCTTACCTGTCCAAGCTTGATTAAGCTTTAAATGTCTATGACAGAAATAAAAGATCAATAAAAATTCTTACTTAATGTATGTATAAGGAATGCAAAATGGAGAAATCAATGTAATATTCTAGAGTTTAAGAACTTCAACTTTTCAAGATTCTTCTCAATTCATTCCCTTCAATATCAGCAGTGGCACTTTTAGTAGAACAGTCATTTCCAGTGTATTTCTCAAAATTTGAAATATAGTCCTCTGCATGTGTTGCAGTTTATGATAGAATATAAGGTTAAGAAATATGAAGTAGTAATTAGATTAATTTGGCTGTGACAGCTCAAAGATGCTGGTATACACTACATCTTAGGCACGAAGCATATGCTTAATTCTAAGCACTTGAATTAGTGATAAAAATTGCTGGATAGTAAGTATGAGCATAAGTATTTTTAAGATTTTATGTGAATACATAAGCTTTAAGTTGTTCGCCAATGGGTGCTACTTTGACATTCTCTTAATTAAGACTTTTTTCACCTTTTTTCTAGGTGTTTACCTCCCATGGACCTACTGTGATCATGCCAACCTGGTTCTGTTCTCGAGAATGGTTTTATCACGTGGGAAAATTTGATGAGGGTGGAAAAGTGAGTGATAATCTAATTCAGAGCCATTTGGATCTATTCTGTGTGTTTTGGAGCTTAGGGGTTTTGTTTCTACTGGTTTAAGTGATGTTTTAGGGCTAGAATGGGTGGTTCTGATTTTTTTTTTTGAAAGCCTTCATTTATTAGTACTATAAAGAAATCTGCTACGGCTATTTAGTATTTTATTATTTAAACCACAACTTAACATTGTTATTCTTTTTATAGGGCTCTAAATGGAGCTCTCCTGTGCTATGCAGTGTGTTTATATATTATATATATGTATACTACATAAATATATACACACATATACATGTGTGTGTATGAGTATTAACAAATATTATCCTTTGGTCTGCCAAAAAAAAATGTAATTTAAAGATATGGCAGACGGAAGAGAAGTGTTTAGAGTGGTGAAAAGATTTGCCCTTACTTATGTGACGGGTGAGTGGCAGAACTGGCAACAATGCCTGCCTCCCAGTACAACCTATATTTACTGACCCGTGCTCTTGATTTTTTTTTAAATATAATTCCTTATCATTGTATTTTCATTCTCTGAAGAGTACGTTTGACTTAACTTCTTGGGCATTGTAAGCAAGCTCAAAAAAGAAAGAAAGCTAAACCACAATAAGGACAACAGCAAGCCTAATGATAAAGATCAAGGTTAGATTGAATAGACCATTGTTCTGTTCTCTTTGTTTATACATTTGATTTTCTTTACTTTGTTCTGGTTTTTGTGTGTGTTTCTTTTTTCTTCTTCTTTCTTTATTGTTTTTGCTTTATATATAATCACGTAGAAGCTATGCCACCAGTTATTTAGATGTAATTAGTCAACAATCTTAATCCTAATGATTTTTCAGCAGCCATGTAAGATATGTCCTTCAAGTCTTAAAAAGTAGCAGTGATAAGTTAAAAATTTTGTTTTTCCCCATCATGAACTGTCCAGCATGTCAAAATTCAGCCTCTGGCTAATATGGAGGACCTTCAACAAAAATACCCTTCTAACATGGGTTGCAACAGGCCATAAGCAGTTAAGTCGAACCTTTGTCATATGAAGGTTTAGAGGAAAATCAGGTCCTAAATTGTTTAACATTTAGTACTGTGAGTATTTAGTATTGGTTTAACACTTTTCCATTTGAAAATAATTTCAGGCAAAGATTTTCTGTATATATCAATAGTTTGTTATAAAGTGGTGCTGTTAGGAACCAGTAATGAGTACTTTTAACAGTCTTATTCATGCATGTGTATGTTCTGACCTGACCCATCATCTGATTATATTAACTTGATCACTTCCATCTCCATTTTTGAGTTACTATTTAACGGTATGACCTCTTAAGTGTCATATTGCTGCAAATAAACACAGAAGCAGGCCAACAAATGTCCACATTTCATCCTTCTCCATTTGCTAAACTGTTTGCATGCCAAAAAGCTGCATTTCTCATTTGGAATTAAATCCAAACACCTGTTCTTCATATTTCAGTGCTTAGTACAAATGGAATATAGTTCTTCCATGGAAGAAATGGTGATTTGATGTTTATGTTAATAGTATGGGTGGACTGATAGAATATAAATAAGTAAGCTGTGATGTAATCTTCTTTTATTAGAGGTAGGTATGCATGTATCTTTCTGTCTATCCAGGCTTTATGCAAAACAGAATTTTTCTAAATGTTTACAAAATGTATTTAGAAATAAAATTCTTTCTGGTCAAGGTCTGCAGATGTTGGGAATATATTCCTTTTGTGTAATCTCTGTGTCAATGTCCAAGCACAATGTCAAGCAGTATTTTCAGAAATGGTGATTAATAACCCTGACAAGTTTGCTTTATGCACCAATTGCTAATTAAATAAAATTGTTGAGATGTTTTTTTATGCAACCTCTGAGATATGACAATTAAAGAACTACTTGGAGGTATCTGATTTTATAGCAAACTCTTATTATGTGCTGAGACTAAAGTAACACAATAGAAATGACCACAAGCCTAGAAAATAACCTTCTAAGTAATATCTGCTGCTAGGAGGAGAGTTATGTGAACCATATTTCTGACTTATTTTTTCAGGAAAATAAAGAGAAGTAATCTTCATGTTACCCAACCAATTAAGATAAGGAATGCAATATGTACTTATTGAAAGAAGTTGCAGGACTTTACTAAACCCATCAGAAATTACACTTGAAAATTAGGGTGTGACATCAGCCTCATGATTGTTTTTGCCTGCATACTTCTTGGTGTCTTCTAACAGCTAACACCCCAGGGTGAAAAGTCAAACTGTGACTAAAAGCTATGCTGAGAACAAATCTACAGGGTCTTATACAATATGAACAGGAGATTTCAAAGCTATATTATCTGTTAAAGTAAGGAACATAAAACGTCATTCACATTGGTAGACATGTTGTCTGCTACTTCCTAAGAGAAATTACTGGTATGTATATTTGATACTGCACTTCCATTGCATGTAAAACCAGTATTTTGTTGTTGTGGCTACCTGGCCCTTTGTGCTTCTACCAAAATGTATTATTCAGAGTGAAGTTCAGATTTTGGTTGTTGTTAATGGCCAGGTGAAGATCACTGGAAAGGCAAGTTATTTGTCTCTTGGCAAGTCATTCTTCTGTTCTAGCTGTTTGTCAGTAATGGCACTACGCTAAAAAAAAAAAAAAAAAAATGGTTTGTTGTTTCAGGTAAATGCACTAAGAAATCTAGGGTACAATAATAACAATGTAATTGTGGGTTGCTTACCTGTAGGCTCCTCTGCATGCAAACATGGCAAATTGTGTAGTCTTGGCTATATTCAAGGAGTATTGTTCTTGAAATCCTGACAATAGCTTGCCATGCTTGTTTCTTTCTCTAGAGTTTTAATTGGTCTCAAATTTCAACATAGAAATGCTTCTCTTTGAACTGCAGCCCGTCACCTCTGCATTTAACCTTCCTTTTTAAGTGTATGAGAAGTAAAAATAGACTGGTTGACTTAAAGTTCTAAACTAATCTTAACGTGTAAACAGGGGGAAATTATTCTTAATGAGCCCCAGAAGGAGTAGCGTGTTATAAGACAGTGGCCTTTCTGAATGCAACTGTGTTTCAGAACAAAGTCTCAGAAGCTCGGTTTTGATAAAGGGTCACAAAAACCAGGAATTGAGGAGGTGTCAAAGTATGCTTTGGTGCAAAGGAGGTTGTAGCACATGCTGCAAAGCTCTAAGGTAACTTTGCAGTTTGTGAGGAGGTAACTAATATATCTTTCCATTTTTCTCTGCCAGAGCACTCCAATATTCCCTCCAGAAAAGCAGGCAGTTACAATAAGGCATGAAAGGTAAAAGGCTAAGTAGGAATTTGTTTTTTCAGAACATGAATTAAAATACAGTCAGTCTTTCAAATAACCTATCAAAATGCTCTGGAGAAAAAAAAAATCTGGATAAAGCACAGGCACTAATGTTTTTGGCTTGGTATAGTTAAGGCTGAACAGAGATCAGTATTTGATCTAAAAACAAATGAAAGTGATGGAGCCAATGATAAATTATGCTTTATAAGCTGTTGGAAAATTAACCCGTACTCCATGCCTAATGACATTTGTGCTAGTCTATTATTAAATACGATTTAAAATTTACCACGTCCTTTCCATTTGACATCCCTATCACCTTTGTTAATTGAACTTCTCTTCTCTGTGCCAATACAATTGGATGAAAAATTTTTTTTAGTTTCCTCTAACGTGTTATTTTACAAACAATGAAGCAAATTTAACATTATTACAGGCTTCAGGTCTTATAACTAAGGCAAAATGATTTAAAACTATGTTTGGATGGGAACCAAAAGAGGGTGTGACAGATTTGCAGAGAGACTTAAGTATATCTTGGATAATCCTGAAGAGAAGCTATTAACAGCAATTTAATATGGAGTTAGCTTGTGGTTAGTCTGCTTTCACACTTTTGGTGACTATCCTGAAGGAAGTGAAAGTAAGGAATATTTTTATTAATTAGGATTTCTCTTTGAAATTAGTAATTTCAATGAGAAGTTCCTGAAAATACTGAAAGATAGATAATTATTGATAAATCGCTTTAGTTGTGAAGTCATTTCATTTTTCAATTTAAATTAGAGAAGAGCTGCAATTTCTTATTTAGTTCTTAATAGCTCTTCCTGTGTGCACTGCACTTTGAACACCAGCTGAAGCTGAGCAAGAGATTTTAGTGCCTGGCAGAACAGCATTTATTTCTAAGGAAAAATCCTTCATTTAAAAGAGGGTGTGTTTTGTGTTCACCTTCGTGCTACCGACCCCTCTGCATGTGTTAGTTCTGCAAATCCAAGACTTAGCTCAAGACTTTGAGGAAATACTCTTGGACAGCTGTTGGCTTAAGTACTTTGAGAGAATAAGTAGTTTGGTTTTTACTCAGCAGCTCAGTTACAGGAGCTGAGGAACAGCATTGCACAGAGGGCAAGTTTTTCATTAAAAGCCACCCAGAAATTGTTGATCAGTGTCCTCATCCTCCAGTTTCTTGTTCCTGTTTTAGGAACCGTGTAGGTTGGGCATAAGATACCAACCACTGACGTGGAGCTGCAAAATTTGTAGCCAGAATTGCTTGTTGTAGTGGTAGCTGGCTTGCAGCTCCTTGCCAAGTGCATTGTTGAGGACACTATAGCTGGAATTCAGTTTCATACGCAGGGATCTGCAAGGAGTACGAAATGAAGAGCTGTGAGGAGATAAGAAAAGAAGAATCATGGAATGATTAGTTTGGTCCCTGAGCAAGGAATTACTTCAGTTCAACTTAAGGTTTGCTTGACATCCCACTGTGTGTACAATATCAGTCCCCTCATCTATACAGACAAGTGTTAACACAGTCAAGTGATACCTGTCCAAAAACCTGTGTAAACACAAAAACTTCACCTCTTTAATAGCAACATGTTAAAGCAAACTATTTATGTGAATGTGGCTGGTGCACACTGCTTAGAACTGAGCAGGTGCAAGCTGCATTTTTCCCTAGGAGCTGTAATCAGCAGCTGATCAGCACAAGCTTGAGTGAAGTAGGCCAATAAGTTTTTCCCTTCGTGCAGCAGGACATAAAGGGTTGGGTTTTGCCTATAATGTGGAAAATCCCATTTGTAGTTCAGTAACATGTAAACTGTGCAGTTCAATTATATTTATTAATGCTGAAAGCTATTTATGTGGTAGCCTATTGCTGAAATGCTAGATTGTTAATTGATACTTTTAGCTATGGGTATTCATTTTCCAAAAATATACTAAAATATCCCTTTAAGAATTAAGCAGCCTTTTCTTTGAAAGTTGCATTGTTTGACAAAGATTCCTGATGTTTAAAATGCCATCTGGATCCAATAATGTGTCTCAATTGGGAAGAAACTCTTGTATTGCACCAAACTTACACACTCAAGAGCCATAGGAAGTCCCATCCCTGCAGGATCTATAACACAGTCAACATCTTTCCTCCCCTGAAAAATGTATGTCAGTGCTTCTCCTTTGTAATGTGAGAGGCCACTGCTGAGCAATACAAGGCACCTGCTCATTCCTAGGGGTGAGTGTACTTTATTTCAAAGTATTTCTGCTAGCTAAAGCAAAAGAGCACTCCAGAACCAAACAGCATTTTGAAAGATCCTTTTACTTCAGCAATAACTCTCGTTTTTTAATATATTAATGGTTAAGTTGAATGATGTAAATGCATATCCAAAAGAAAAAGAGTTGCAGTGATGTATGTGATGTAATGAAATCTCCAAATCAAAATATGACTGCTGCAGCAAACTGGTATGTGCTGCAGCATTTGTGCCCTGCCTGGCATGGTCTGTTTTGTGGCTGGAAAAAGGTTTGGAGAAGGTTTAAATCTTGCTGCTGACTCTCAGGAATTCCATGAAAGTTCAGAATAAGAAAAAGATAGAAAGGGCTATGAAATAAATGCAAAGAATCTGAGTTTGTGTTTTTCTTCTGTACTGATGCCTGTGGTTGCTGTCCGCTCCTCCAACCTCCCCCAGGTTTCTTTTGGGACTTTCACTGTAGGTTCATGTAAAGTATTAATTGCACGAAGTTCTCTAAAAGTTTTCTTCTGTATCTGAAGTCAAGGTAGAAGACAGACAAGTATTTACGAAGATGAACTTGCACGTCAGCTGCCCTTACCAAGCAAGCCGATCAGAATCCATCACATTTCTGAATCGGGGAGTGTGGTCCGGTCCAGCGCCTTAAATCAATCTGTTATGTAGTGATGGCTGGAGCTGTGAAGTACAGAGCTTGATTGCCTTCTGATTTCTCCCAAGATACATATGTTCAGCTGAGTATTTTGGATTTGTTTTCCAGGGTTCAAAGCTTTTTTGTCTCATTCCTCTCCTCCCCCCATTACTGCTCAGTCCAGACCTTGTCAGACATGAGCACTCAGCGTGGTGGGTATGAAAAGCAGACACTGAACCCTACTGCTGTTGTAACTAGACGGCCAGAAGAAACCACAGGGGGATTTTGTGTCCAGAACTCTAATTTAGAGAATCTCCTTTTCTTAATTATGGAAGAAACTCAGAAGATGTGGTAATGGGGAAAAATATTCAACTCTTTTTTAAAAAAAAAACTTGGGATTTTATTTTTTTTCTATTGAAATAGAATATCTACAGTTGAAGTTTATGCCCCCCTTACTCACGCATATGAATACAAGTAAGAATAAGGAACAAATGTATTTCTCTATCTTTCATTTATTTTTCCTCCTCACGTGTACATTTAGTTATAACTTTGTCATATTATCTTTCAGCTTTTTATTGATTCTACGCTTAGTTGGCACAGTTGTTCTTTTTTTATTTTGATAAAGCCTTGTGACCCTTTAAACACTAGGTTAGATGAAAGAAAAATCTGTATATAAACATAGAAAAATGGATGTTCTAGCCATATTTCATTTTTTTTTCAAGAGGTTGCACCATTGCACAATGTAAATAGATGCTACCTGTACACTTTCAGAGCAGGGCTGAAGCTTTAAAGGTGGTTTATGCTTTGGTATGCATAACGTAACTGAATACTGTGTGCCGTATGATTGCCTTTCTGACACACTGCCTCTGACATGAAGATCTTCTGATTTTAGGTGGGAAATGTTGCATGTAATCATGATATTTCTAGTATTTTCTGGAGGTTCTAGAAGATTTTTTTTTTTCCTGTATAGTGTTTCAGCACTATAGCTTGTAATTCCTTTAGGAAGACCATAGCATGGGAACATGTTGGAAGAAAATGTTACTTTTTGGATGTTGCCTTATTCCAACTTTTTTTTTTTACAATGGAAGTTCATGTCTCTCACAATGGGGCCTGACTCACCTTTCCTAAGTAGAGACCAGAATATATATTTGTACAGCAACCAAAGAAAGAACACCAGTTCTATGAAAACAAAAACTCCACTCTGAAGTCACTGATCCCTTTCAGTAAATTACTTGGTTACTTGGCACTACAGGCTTTGTGAACTGTAAGCAGCTGCATTTCTCTCTTTACGGGACTGACATGTATCAAGCTTTTCCCTCTCAAAAGGAGATGAGGTTGATGATGTTTATATTTCCACCTATGTCCTTGTGGTCAGCTGCAGTTCATTTTTAAACAACACTGCTTGCCTTTTTAATAGTTTTATCTTTCCTACAGATGTTCAGATAAGTTCATGGAGATGTACAGAAAGAATTTGAATAAAATGTTGTTAAACATTCATTTGGCAGAAATATATACCCAGATGTAAGTATGAATACTGGTCACTTCTTGGTTTGAAATAACTGCTTCTCTTCCAGGGTGTTCCAGAAGATTTGTTATTTTTTTACAAACACATCCAAAAGGGTGGTGAAGTTGTTCGAGTAAACCATTGCCTTCTGCTGTACCGATACCATCCACAGGCTGCAACTCATTCTGTCCTAGAGTAAGTTGATTTTTTTTTTTTTGTAGAATATAAAAATTAGCTTCATCTTGGATGATTTTGGATGATTGATGCATAATCTCTAATGGTTTATTGTTGTGTTGTTGTCTTTTTTTTTTAAAGCAGCAACTATAACAATATGCTGCTAGTATCCTTTCTGTGTTGATGGAAGATTAGTTTTCTTTTTTTGTTTGTTTTGTTGCCATAACCTGTTTTTGAGGAACGTACTGTAATGCTGGCATTGAAATTATGAACTGCAATCTCTGATTCCAATACTGGTGCCCAACACTTGGTGTACCTACGTGAAAGATTTAGTGTGGAGGGTGAGGGTGTTTTAACATTGGAAAAATATTCCAGGAAATTGTTCAGCCTTTGCAGCTGTTCTTGAAATAATTTCACAATAGGTACTGTAAGAGCAATCAAGGGTTTTGGGGACTGCATTACAACAGTAGTATTTTCTCAGCTTCCAATTACCATCCCTTCATCTGAGACTGTAACTGATCACATGAGATCTTGTAAGCTGCCTGAATAACACCTCCAATTATTTCAATGGTGAACGGTCCCTTCATGGTAAAATTTTACTATTTTTTTTAATATCCGAGGTTTTGCTTCTCATATTTTTTTGCCATATGAATCATTATCTAAGAAATATTTATTTTAAATCTTGATTTCAAAAAGAACTGTTAGTTTTAAGAAGTAACCAGAACCTATTGTAATACCAGCAGAAACCTTCCGTACAAAATAAAATAAAAACTAAACCTCTCATCTGGTAATCTGCAGCAGTTACATATATTATCTTCATATTTTAGAAAGTCTAAAGCATCTAAATCAGGTAATGATGTTTGAGAAATACCTCTGAGGATGTGTAGGAGTAATTATCTCAGATGCTTCCTTGTAAGCTGCTGTCTGCTGCTTTTACACTGCTGTTGTACCTTTGATGATGTTAAACTGTTGATGCTGATTCTTCTACATGCTTGATTTATCTATCAAAGGTGCTCTTCCTGAGCAGAAGTACTGCAAGCTGAGCCAAAGTTATAAAAAAACAAAAATAAAAATTTCCTTCTCTTATATATTAGCATTAATAAAAGGTTCTCTGAGTTTTACTACCCTTTGGGGGTCCCACAACAAAAACACAGCAGTAAGTAAGTAAACTATTTTCTTACCAATTAATGACATAGACACACTCTCCAGCCAGTGCTGTGTATGGATTTGTCTAGTAAAATTAAACATATTTTTGTATGCGTTTTAGTTACATATCACTCTATTATTGTATTACTGTAAATACTTTGGTACAGTAGTGTATGTATCATATCATGGTCAGTGTCACTGTAGATCTTTATATGTACATATGTGTAAAAATCATTCAGCTCTGAAAGTCATTCCAGGCAAATAGAAGACACTTTTTGAATTTTGTAAACAAAGGTGAGATATGTTGTTTTCCTTTTTATTAGTATTTAAATATAAATTGGGTCATTTTTTGTTTCTTTTGTGTGTGATCGTTCTGGCAGTTGGTTACAAACTCTTCAGCCATGCATCATGGGATGCTAGGGCTCTTGGAAGACTGTTGCTTGTGTCTGTGGGAAAACATCTTATTCTTGGAAATGAGTTTGGTCTGAATTTACTGCAAGCTGTTGCTTATTCAGATCTACAAGTTTGTGTGGCACAAGCACCCTGAATTACAACACACTGTGAGAATGTGGAAATACTGTAAACTGTTTCAGATGTGCAGCTTGCAGGTCCAAATTGGCGCCTTTCTTGTCTCATTCTAAGAAGTGAGGCGAGCCATTCTTCCTGTTGGCTTTTTCTTGGTCGTATCGTTAATAATATTTTGTGTGAACTTTCAAATATGAAGTTGTGTAATATCTCTCCTTATTGGCACGTTCCCCTGTTTATTGCCTCAGTTGTAAAGGACTGGCCAGTGTTTGTGTCTGAAGACTTCAGCGTGCATTGTTGTTGTGGGACTCAACACAAAAGTTTATCATTTAAATTGGGGCTTTCCTAATTTGCCTCTTCTTCACCTCAACTTATTTAATGCATGTTCTACCTTTTCTAAAGTCTTTTTTTTTTTTGGAAGTATTTTTCTGTGTTTTGTTTGAGAAGTTTTCTGTGACATTTTGCCTTTTGTCATTGGCCTGTTGCCTTTGCATTTTCAGAGTTAGACTAGACCTGGATTATTTGGGAGTAGTAAACCAAGAACCAGATTAATATCTTGTCTGACAGCAAAATGATGCGTATGGGAAAGCTGATACTTAAAACAGTTTATGTCTAGTTTCGGTCTTAAAAAAAAAAAATTAAATAGTTTGGAGGTAGTTAATAGGACTTGTTTATAAAAACGTGCATAATTCAGTCTTTCAGCAAAGGCTGCAGTCACTTGCAGCCTATTGTGGACTGATTTCAGTTTATACAAGTGTCTTTCATTACTGTTCAAGGGACAAATGCCTGATCCTGCATTTTCAGACTTGCTAAAGTGTATATCAAACTATTTGGCAAGCAAAATTTCTTTATTTAGTCAGCATAATTGTAAACACTAATGATTTTTAGGTCATTTCCTATGATTAGTGTCCTTCTGGAACAAATATCTAGAGGTGAAAGTATCTGTGAAGCAGGAAACAAAAACTTATTTGCATTTTCCCTTACCCTAGAGGCATCAGACTGAAATATTAAATGTTGTGGGTGTGTGACAGAATCTGAATGAAGTACAGTCTATATTTAGATTTCATTAAGTACATACAGAAATGTAAACTTTCTCATTGCAATTTTGTCTAAAGTCTATGATGGATGCTTACTAAATGTGAAGAACTATACAGCTTTTGAGAAACTTCGCTTCAGCCAGGAATTACAACAAAAAAATCCCGCATATTGTATCTCTTGGATCTAAATCAGTTTATTTCACAGTGTGGCTCATATCCTAGGGGTGTGTGTACTTTGTGCTACATTGCTGCATTACACTGATCTGATAGAATATCAGAGATGCTGTTAATAGCGAGAAGTACCGTACTAAAAGAGTTCGTTGTATAATAAAAACATTTAAAAAATCATAATTTTTATCTTGCAAAAAGGGAGAAAACTGTATATAAGACAATGCACCTCACTGCAAGATAAAAACCAGTGTGGTGGAAGAGGAGCAATAAAATACTGTACTTGTCTTTAGGTGGTGTTTCTCATGAAGACATACAGTTGGGGCAGGTAGCAATTTACAATCTTTTGGTTAACAGAAATTAAATATATGCAGAAAATAAGGTTTGTACATTCCCACTGAGATAGAAGAGATTCTCTTTTATGCAGAAACTATGAAGCATGCTTAAATGATTTACAGTAATTTCATATGCTGTGTATTCAGAATGAGTATAATATTGTAAAAGCTCGTTCTGCAGAAATACCCCAAATTACGTAATCTATTAAAACCATCTGGTTTCAGGCACAAGAAGCTTCCAGTGTCATTTAAGCGAAAGAGAACAGGCATTTAGTATGAGACACACATTTGGTTGTTTTAGAGGTACTCGGAGGCATGGGTCTTGTATCACCGATGAGCATAGGAATGCCTGCTTCATTTCCTGCAAAAACATATGCATCCCAAAATAGGCAGGAGCGAGGAATAGCATAACATATTCCTGTAGAACTGCAGTAAAGATGAGGTCAACTGCATTTTTATCATCTATGTCTGCATTTGGCACTACAATTAAACATAGAAACTAATGACCTCATTAGATTCTTGAAAAGCAAATGGCATTAACATTGATAGTCTCCGTCTTTCTTAATAAGCCTTTCATGAAAAATAGGCCACAATGCAAACCATGCCTCAGTTAATGACCCACGACCTGAAGATGAACTCAGACATTAATAGAACCTATTAACAGTGTAAATGTAATAACTCAGTGGGACGATATAGTCCAGCAATTAATAAGTTCACATGAAGTTCAACAGAACAACGACAAAAAAAATCAGTTTATTCACCAGTATGCTCAAGGTTCAAATGAGATTCATTTCTGAATTTCTTGTGGATTATAAGGACCGTGAATTTTGCATAGCTAGCTGAAAAAAGCTAGCTATAAAGAATCTGTTCTTTCAGCTCTCCCTGTGATTGGAAAGTTCTTTGTTCTTCCACCTCTGAATTATCTATCAGGTGAGATTCACCTATAGTATAAAACCATATTATCCTGCCATGAATAGAAAAGCGTTGGAAGAGGCTGGTCACTTGAATAGTTCTTCCTATCTAACATTACCTGAGTAGCATGTGGGAGCAATGTATGTAGTAAAAGTCTGATTTATAGTATCACCGTGGATGGTAATCAATGCCTAAAATTTCAGTACTGCTTAGGATATTGGGTTTGTATTTTTATATTTCACAAGTACTTGTACATCTGTCTTTGTTCTGCTGATTCACTTATGTAACCTCACTGGGGGGAAGGAGGGAGAGGGAGTCGAGCATTATGGCGAGGTTTAACAGAGCTCAGACATTAAATCATATAGCTTTTATTGTCACATTATCTTTCATTTCAAAATAGGAATAGAGCAGATGTTTCTTGACTCCTGTATTCAGTCAGTAGGTCAGCACACATTTTAACAGAGCTCCATTGTTATATTACTTGGGTGGATGGTATGGTAATAACTGCTTGAGACTGAGGAGCATACTTCGTAGTCATTCTCACCCACGGCATGAATACCCACAGTTTGCTCCTGCAGAATTTTGGCTCCTCTTCTTCCTTCCAGACTGCATAACTGAGGAGAGTTGAGGGGCCATGGCAAATGTGAAGACTCAGGAATGGCTTTCCAAATTTGAAAAATGTATACTTCTAACCTTTCTTCTGTGAAGGGAAAAAAAAAAAAAAAAAAAAAAAAAAAAGTGAAAAGAAAATTAAAGAAATGGGTAAAAAAACAGTGTACTTCAAGCATTTGGGTCAAGGAAGAGTATTAGGATATGGGTACCCACTTCTGTAATCAGAAAAGTTTGTGTCACACCTTCTGGCTGAGGAAAATCATAGTTAACTGAATACTGGCTAGGA